TGTCATTGTGTGTGTGACAGTGTTTCTTGATCTCGAAGTTCAATTTTGGTGGACTTACATGGTCACAGGTCTCCATACAGCTGCTATCGAGTTAGGGGAGGATAATAGGTCTGTCGTCAGTGTAGCAACTTCGTATGGCCGACATAATGGATGACGATGATGAGATGCTCAATGATTTTATAGAATCCATCAGAAGGGCTGGGAGGCGTGCTTCGAATGATGTGCCTGTGGATCTCCTGTACGAAGGCTCAGCGTTGAAAGGGAGGTGAGGGCCGCTGAAGCGGGAGGCTGTAGTGTTAGGGGTTCTCTGATTAGGTTCCGTCTGGAGATGCCAAGTGCGGACGATTTCAAACTAACATTCGCTCTAGATGGATCCAGAAGCGACGCCACTGAGTTTGTGTTTATGCAGGAACTCATCACGACAGTGGCAGTCGGTCTCGGCAGAACGCCCTCTTGGGACGGCTTTCTTCCTTCTGATGACGCCAAGGTGGACTCTAACGGTGTAGTCCTCGTAGCGTTCGCTACTGCAGCCAACGTGAAGGAAATGACTACGAAGTTTGCTGAGGTGAGCCAGACCGATGGCTTTCCCTGTGAACCCTTCTAAGGTGCTGAGGCGGTGCCTCACGTGTAAGGTCGGCGCTGCTCCCATCCATAAGATGGACAACTTGATGCGGACCACACCACTAGCTGCTCTGCTCACAACCACCATGGACCTCGGTCGCAATTAATCAGTATTTTCCCCTAGACGCTGTTATGGAGTTTGAGTCTCATATTGGATGCTAAGGATGTGAACGAACAACTCTCCCCAGGATGCGACATCTCTTATACCACTTAACGAAAAGTGTATACATGATCCAACTTCACCACTTCCCGAAATACCTGTATCCGATCTCACTACCGTTTAGAAACCTACTCGGCGAATGACGCCCTCAGTGATGGATTTACTTCGGCGGCGGAGGTTAAACTAGTGCATCCCGCCGAGTTCTTCAATTTCATCAGACATATCGATTTTAACGATCGAGACACCAGTTCCGGTAATTGAAATCCTACCCAACAGTTGGATGGCCGTGTCCACCTAAAGGATTCATGTATGCTTTACTGATGGCAGCATTCGGGTTTCCATATGGGTTTCCATAAGTACACCATATTAA